TGACTTGAACAACTAGGAGTGCTTGAGACACTAATTCGGAAACCATCTGAAGTGCTTGTTCTCACTTGCATATTTGCTCGTTCAGACCCCACATCTGAGCTCGGCAAATACAAAGAAGTTCCACGAGAACCAAAATCAACAGAAACCTTGCCGCGTGGAATACTAGGAGTGAACTCTAGACTTGCACCAGATGGACGCCCGTTTTGAACAAAATCACTACCACCGTCATGTAACTACAAAACAAACATGAAAAAACTGATTCACTTAATTGGAAAATTACTCAGCCCCATAAATATTTATTTGTATTGAGTACATATATGGTAAACTCACTAAGTCATGACTACATAAACAAGGAATTGATTTGGACTGTGTTATGTGGAACTTTAAATTTAAACAAAGAAACTGGTAGATAACCTAGTAATTTGATCGCAATTAGGTACAGATATCGGCAATTGTCTAAAAGATTATGGAACTAGTCACGAAATAATATAATTCATCAGCTGAATATAAATCGGTAATTTTACAGTTTCCATGTTCAAAAGGCAAAATCACACTAGCCTACATGGGGGGAAGACGAACAATATCAAATCTAAAACCATTGAGGAAACTTTTAATTAATTTATGAAGCATGAGTAACCCAATTCATGTTGTATCAACTATTGAACATATACTTAGGGAATAGAATCACTAAATTGAAGCTCTTTTCCTACCCTGTTAATATTTTGGATTTCCTAAATTTTCCATTCCACGCAAATACTTGTTTAAATCTCCAAATCATTTACAGATACATTGTCCATCCACTACTACTTTCCATGATTAATTAAAGAATTAAGTAATGGACATTTAGCCACCTTAGTGAACTGAATTCTCATATGACTTCTTCATAGAAAGCATCCTAATACACTGGGATGTTGAAGAGAGTGCATAGTCCTATTCATAATGACATTACAGAGTATGGAAAACAGGTAGCCGCTTTTAAGAGGAAGTATTAAAGATAGAACTTCTATAGTGGCATGCCTTTTTCAATAATATTAAACAGAGACATTGTTATTATCAATCAAATCCAAAATTCTAGCTCTGACCCCCAGAAATACACACCACTGAAGGCAGAAAGAACCATTAAAGTAAAAACCAGACAGATTGTTCTCAGAAAAATATGAAATGCATCAAGGAAAATGATTGATCATGTCAAGGATTAGTTTCAAATGAGAAATTTACATCAGAAATGTCACTCCGAGTACGTCTACTATGACTTTGACCGGTGGGGATTAAAGCTTTCAAGCCTGAAAGCCACACCTCTGCCTCAACTTTGTCCTTGCAAATCTATGGAGTGCAAACAATTAAAGGTAATCAATCGACTTAAACTCGTCCTCACCAAAGTTC